CTTTGCCTTTGATAGGAAGAAAAGGAAAGGTTTCTCACAACTCCTCAACTTCAAACCCTTAATTAGAAATGACTTCCTGGACTGAGTAGTTTAAAGCTTCCCGAATGGAGAGTAGCCCCTGTTTGCATGTGTCCTCCGCCCCCTACACCCTCCCATTAGGGTACAAAATAACTGCTGCTAATGTGGATGAGCCTAAGGTAATTCTTCATATTCCTGAGATAGAATGAAATAAAAATAAAATCTTGCACTAAAATTGGGATTTCAGTTAGAGATTGGGTGAGAGACAAGGAGCTTGTATATTACAGGACATTCAGGAAGAGAAGGCTGTAGATGCCAATATGTATATAATTATGTTAAATAAGTTGATAGAAAAAGTAAAAGTTGAACTATGTTTCTTAAAATGTAGAGATAACTACTAGAAGACTAGAGTTAGGTCCTCGACTTTCAAACTACTAAAAGAGAAAACTAGCAATAGGAAAGGGGAAATAGCAAGTATATGAAAGATTGGAATAAAACAGTTAAACTTGATTTCACATGTTTATATGGACTTTCATAGCAACTCACAGAAACTACATACTTAAACACTCTTGGATCTTTTTTTCCAATCTGCTATATATTAAATCACTTTTCAAACAAAACCTCAAATTCTCAAAAGTAGAAATTATTCAGGCTGCATTCTGAATATAGTATTTTTTTCTCGACATGATCTGTAAAAGGAAAACCTGCCAAAAATCATTCCAGTTGCTAATTATGAAATCCTGGCTGGGCACAGTGGCTCACACATGTAATCCAAGCATCTTGGGAGGCTGAGGCAGTTGGATCACCTGAGGTCAGGAGTTCGAGACCAGCCTGGTCAACATGGGGAAACCCCATCTCTACTAAAAATACAAAAAATTATCCCAGCGGGTTGGTATGTGCCTGTAGTCCCAGCTACTCCAGAGGCTGAGGTAGGAGAATTGCTTGAACCTGGGAGGTGGAGGTTGCAGTGAACCGAGATCACGGCATTGCACTCCAGCCTGGGTGACCAGCAAGACTGTCTCAAAAAAAAAAAAAAGAAATCTCTGAGTTACTCTTAATGTCAATTTAAAAATCTAAAGAGGGCTGTGGATGGTAGCTCATCCTGTAGTCCCAGCACTTTGGAAGGCTGAGGCACACAGATCACTTGAGCTCAGGAGTTTGAGACCAGCCCGGGCAATACAGCAAAACTCTGTCTCTGCCAAAAAAACGTTTAAAAACTAGCAGGGTGCCAGCTGTTCGAAAGGCCATTGTAGGAGGATCGCTTAAGCCCAGGAGGTTGAGGGTGTAGTAAGCCATGATTACACCGCTACACTCTAGCTTGGGTGACAAAGCAAGACCTTGTCTCAAAAACAGAAATCACATGTTATAACTCCTAATGAATTGATGAATCTCATTACTAATCACAGCTGCCAGTACTGCAAAAAGAGACACAGACAGAAATTATGTGCCTCCTGATGGAAGAGCCTAACACAGCCTATGAAATAGTTTTGTCCTTTTTCTGCGCCCTCCCAGGAAAATAGAACCTGAGCCTGACCCAGGCCTTAGAACTGCCTAACAAATTCAGAACAGAGGAACACAGTAAGTGATACCGTGGGCTAGGCGCGGTGGCTCAAGCCTGTAATCCCAGCACTTTGGGAGGCCGAGGCGGGTGGATCACGAGGTCAAAAGAACGAGATGATCCTGGTCAACATGGTGAAACCCCGTCTCTACTGAAAATAGAAAAAATTAGCTGGGCATAGTGGCGCGTGCCTGTAATCCCAGCTACTCAGGAGGCTGAGGCAGGAGAATTGCCTGAACCCAGGGGGCGGAGGTTGCGGTGAGCTGAGATCGCGCCATTGCACTCCAGCCTGGGTCACAAGAGCGAAACTCCATTTCCAAAAAAAAAAAAAAAAAAGTGACACTGTGGGCCAGGTGGGTTGGCTCAGGTCTGTAATCCTAGTACCTTGAGAGGCCATGGTGGTAGGATTGCTTGAGGCCAGGAGTTTGAAATCAGCCTGGCCAACATAGCAAGACCCCCATCTCTATAAAAAATAAAATAGATAAATAATACTCTGGAATTGGAATCAGCAAAATACAGAAAGTGGGAAAGTATAGTATGATAAATGAGTTTTTCAGTAAATACATTGCATTGGGTGTGGTGGCTCACGCTTGTAATCTCAGCACTTTGGGAGGCTGAAGCGGGAGGATCATGAGGTCAGAGGTTCAAGACCAGCTTGACCAACATGGTGAAACCCCGTCTCTACTTAAAAATACAAAAATTAGCTGGATGTGGTGGTGCGCACCTGTAATCCCAGCTACTTGGGAGGCTAGGCAGGAGAATTGCTTGAACCTGGCAGGCGGAGGTTGTGGTGAGCCGAGAGCATGCCATTGTACTCCAGCCTGGGCAACAGAGCAAGACTCCGTCTCAAAAAATAAATACATACATACATACATACATTGCAAGAGGAAAAATAGGAAATGGATTTGTTCCCAATTTAAACTGAAAAAAGAAAAAGAATTGGAAATTTGAACACGTGGACATTTGAAGATTTTGGATTATTACTTTTACATATGATAATAGTATTGTAATCTTTCTTTGGCATTTTTATCTTTTAGTGTGTCATCTATATGTTTGCTAAAATATTTATGGATAAAATGAAATGATGTCTTGGATCTGCTTCAACATAGCACAGGAAGGGGCCATGGCCGAGGGTGTGGATGAAGCAGGATTTGCTGTGACTTGACAGTTGCTGGAACTGGTCTTAGGTACATATGGGTCCATGTTATTGTATCTACTATTGTATATGTTGGATATTTTTCACAATAATTAAAAAAGATTACAAAGTCAATATGTATTACAACCTAAGTGAGAATGATGGCATCCTGAACACATTTTTTAGCCTGGCCTTCCTCTCAAGACCTCACTGAAATAATAGTAAAGAAATAGGCAAGAGACTAAACCCACCACGGAGAGGAGAACTAGCAGGTTCTCAGTGGACCAGCGTTAGTAGCATCTGGAAGACGAAGTGCTGGGAACACTGACGATAAAAAAGAGCACAAGAAGGCTGGGCGCGGTGACTCACATCTGTAATCCTAACACTTTGGGAGGCCGAGGCAGGCAGATCGCCTAAGACCAAGAGTTCGAGGCTGCAGTCAACTGTGATCCTGTCACTGCACTCCAGCCTAGGCAACAGAGTGAGACCTGTCTCACACACACACACGCAGAGAGAGAGAAACAATCTAGAATGTCCAAAAGCAGAAGCAGATTCAGGCTTTGTAAGACCTAAAATTATGCAATTTTTAAAACAGCTTTATTGAGATGTAATTAATGTATAAAATCTGCACATATTTAAAGTAATAATTTGATGAGATTTGCATTTGTAGACACCACAAGACCATCAGGATGATGAACATGCCCATTATCTCCAAAAGGGTCCTCATCTGGCTGCTTTCACCCCGTGTAATTCCTTTGGGATTCTTCGATGATGCATGGATCAGCAGCTGGTTCCTCTCTATGGCTCAGCAGCATCCACTGTATGGATGTACCACAGTTTGTTTGTGGTTCACCTGTTGGACATTTGGGATGTTTTCAGTTCTTGCTGCTGGCAAATCGGGCTGCCGTGAACATTCACATTCATGTGCCAGAGTTTGCATCTCCATGTTTTTCATTTCTTTCAGGTAAATACCATGGGGTGTAGTGGCTGGGTCATATGGGCTTAGCTTTTTAAGGAACTGCCATCATGTTCTCCAGAGTGCCCACACGTGCTACATTTCCACCAGCAGGAAAGTGCCAGTGCTTGCACACCCACTCCAACTGTGATTTGGCCGGGCTTTTTAATTTTAGCCATTCTAATGGGTGTGTGCTACCGTCTCGTTGTGATTTTTAACTTGCATTTCCTTATTAGGACATCTTTTCACAAACCCACAAACCCTGCTTGCCATTTGTATGTCTTCCTTAGTGAAGTACCAGCTCAAAGCTTATCCCTAGTTCTTAACAGGGTTCTTATTTAGTTCCGAGTTCTTTGTTTATTCTGGATACAAGTCATTTTGTCAGAAATTTGTTTGCAAATATTCACTCCCAGTCTATGGTTTGCCTTTTCATAACGATGTCTTTGGAAGATCATAGTTTTCTATTTTTACAAAGTCCAATTTGTTGATTGTGTTAATAGTTCATGCTGACCAGGCGCAGTGGCTCACTCCTGTGGTCCCAGCACTTTGGAAGGCCAAAGCAGGTGGATCACAAGATCAGGAGTTCAAGACCAGCCTGGCCAACGTGGTGAAACCCCTTCTCTACTAAAAATAGAAAAATTAGCAGAGTATGGTGTGGGCACCTATAATCCCAGCTACTCAGGAGGCTGACAGGAGAATTGCTTGAACTAGGGAGGCAGAGGTTGCAGTGAGCTGAGATTGTGCCACTCACTCTAGCCTAGGAGACAGAGCAAGACTCCGTCTCAAAAAAAAAAATAGTTCATGCTTCTTGTGTCCTAGTGTATTTGTTTTCTGTACCTGCTGTAACATTTTACCACAGACTTGGTGGCTTAAAACAACAAATTTATTCTCTCTCAGTTCTTGAGACCCAAATTTCAGCGTCAGTTTCACTGGGCAGAAAAGGTGCCCACAGCGCTACGCTTCCTCCAGAGGCTCCAGGGAAAATGTTTTTGAGACAGGGCTTTGCTCTGTCACCCAGTCTGGAGCACAGTGGTGCAATCACAGCTGGCTCACTGTAGCCTCGATCTCCCAGGCTCAGGCAATCCTCCCACCTCAGCCTCCCAAGTAGCTGGGAATACAAGTGCGTGTCACCCCACCCAGCTAAATTTTGTATTTTTTATAGAGATGGGATTTCCCCATGTTGCCTAGACTAGTCTTGCACTCCTGGGCACAAATGATCTGCCGATCTGGGCCTCCCAAAGTTCTGGGACTACAGGCGTGAGCCACACCTGGCACCAGCATGGCAGAGGCAGTGTTTGTGCTTCATGCTCCAACTCGATGTCCGTGGTTACCCGCAGGACTGGCTGATTCTGCTGTCCTGGCCATGTGGTTGCTCTTTGCTTCTGCCCAGTTCTCAAGTCTGGACCCTCCCAGCCACCTGTGAGCCCTCCAACACTGTCGGCAAAGGTCTTTTCCAATTTAATCAGCCAGAGCTGGTCTCTATTACGTGCAACGCAGAAGCTTTCCTGATAGAGGGTGTTTTCCAGAAGCCCACTGTGAGCACCATGTTTGGCTGTGAAATATGAGTGGCATTTCCGTGTCTGGGCAACAAGCCGGTGTGCTGTCATCTGCACCGCCTGCAACTCGGCTGTGTTCTGGGGGGCTTAGGCCAGGCCCTAAGACAGGATGGAGACATGGAGTTTTAAAAAGACCAAAAACACACCCTGTCTCTATTGCCCACTATCGTCCTCTCCCCGTGTAAGCTCCATGAGGGTACGGATCCTTATCTTTTAGGGTTATTGATGTTCATTGAGCACCTAGAACCATGCCTGGTATATAGTAAGTATTCTGTTAACGTTTGCTGAATATAAATTCACAAAGAATAATAAAATTGTTCGCCTAAAAAAATCAACTGGAAAACTATTTGAACAAATAAAAATGCAGTAAAGTGTATATTAAGAAGTAAGCATATATAAATCCGTGACTTTCTTATATACTGGCAATGACCAGTTTAGAGATGAACAACGCCTCATTTGTAAGAGCAACAACAACAGAATCCAGTTACTCAGGAGGCTGAAGAGGGAGGAGCTCTTAAGCCCAGGAGTTTGAGACCAGCCTGGACAACATAAAGAGACCTCAGTTTGTTTTTTTTTAATTATAAAAAAGATTTGGTAGGCTGATGTGGGAAGATTCCTTGAGCCCAGGAGTTTGAGACCAGCCTAGGCAACATGGCAAAAACCCATCTATACAAAAACTTAGATGGACCTGGTGGGAGGTGCCTGTGGTCCGAGCTACCTGGAGGGAGGTGCCTGTGGTCCCAGCTACCTGGAGGCTGAGGTCAGAGGATCACCTGAGCCTGGGAGGTCGAGGCTGCAGTGAGCCAAGATCGTACCACTGCACTCCAGCCTGGGCAACGGAGTAAGAGAGAGACCTGTCTCAAAAACAAATGTTCAAGACTCAAGACACATACAAAGAAAATCATAAAACTTTATGTTAAGATATAACAGACTATTCATGGCCCCCAATCCCTACCCAGGACAGGACCCAAGCCAGCCATGTCCTCTTTTAAGAAAAAAAAAAAAAGAAAGAGGATATTATTAAGAATTGTAAGACATAGCATGTTCTTAAAGGATGAAACTGATCATAACAGTGATCATAGGGATAGCCCATCTTCTCCATAGCCTCCCCTGGGCCCCACAATGTCCTGAGCACTTGACATTGAACGACCCCTTTACCACTGTCCAGGACTCATGCAGGCAGGAATTATACTGGTTTTTTTTTTTTTTTCCAGAGTGGAATATTCATTTTATTGAAATAAAATGGACTTCCATACATTCACTCCGTGACTCAATCGAGAAGATATCTGCCACCCACACAATAGGCAAAAGATTAGTGATGGAATATGCAAATGGACCTTAAAATCATGGTAAAGGTACAAACAACACAATCTCTTTTGTTCGTTTTTGAGACAGAGTCTCACTTTGTTGCCCAGGCTGGAATGCAGTGGTATGATCTCAGCTCACTGCAGCCTTGGTCTTCGGGCCTCAAGCAGCCCTCCCACCTCAGCTACCTGAGTATTGGAGCTACAGGTGCACACCACCATCCCCAACTAATTTTTTTTGTATATACGGGATCTCGCCATGTTGCCCAGGCTGGTCTCAAACTCCTGAGCTCAAGTGATCCACCCGCCTCAACCTCCCAAGTGCTGGAATTACAGGCGTGGGCTACTGCAGCTGGCCCAAACAATACAGTCTGAAAAGTGGAAAAATAACTGGCATCTCATGAAAACAGAGAAATGGCAAATGAACTGAAAAGATGCTCAGCCTTAGCCGTCCCAGGATGTCATGCTAAAGCAGTGAAGCCCTTCCTCCTCTCCAGCTGTGCTCACTGCTGGGAACTGGTGGCTCAGGGGTCTCTGTCCTGCCTGCTCGCCCTTTACATCCCCTTGCTGCCTGTTGATCCTTATGCCTTGGTCCAGCTCCAACTGCTCATTCCCTAGAGTGTCCCTTTCCTTGTGTGGCACCTAACCGGCCAAGCCCAGCTGGGCACTGGGCCTGCACACAAACTGCTGGGAGTGGAAAGAGAGGAGATATAGACGTTTGGACTTGTTTCATTTTAAATTCACCACCAGCTTAAGCAGACACTTGTTGACTACTACATTTGCCCAGCCTGGTACCACCCAAACACATCCTTGTGTCCTGCCACACAGTGAGGGCAGAGCTGGGATCACACTGCCTGCCCCTTCTAAGTGAAAGGTTGCTGGCCAGGCAAAGGAACTCATGCCTTAATCCCAGCACTTTGGGAGGCCGAGGCAGGTGAATCACAAGGTCAGGAGATCGAGACTACCTTAGCTAACATGGTGAAACTCCATCTCTGCTAAAAATACAAAAAATTACCCTGGCATGGTGGCACATACTTGTAGTCCCAGCTACTGGGGAGGCTGAGGCAGGAGAATCGCTTGCACCCAGGAGGCGGAGGTTGCGGTGAGCTGAGGTTGAGCTACTGCACTCCAGCCTGGGCAACAGAGCGAGACTACGTCTCAGAAAAAAGAGAGAAAAAGAAAGAAAGGTTGCTGAGCATGGGAAGCTGTGCCTTTGCAGGCAGGTGAAGGGCCTGGCTTCTGGGACCCAGAGGAGCCTCATTTGAAGGGGAGTGAGGATGGGCTTATCTAGAATCTGCCTGAAGCAGGGACCTGGAAGAGTGAAACTGAAGGAGGCTGAAGTATTCCCCCAAAGGCAGGGAGACTCCAGACCCTGAAAAGGTGGCCCAGGGGGGTGGTCAGCTTTGGTCACATGGGAGGCCAACCAGTGTGTAGGCAGCAAAGACCTCTGGCCCTCACCGCTGGCCCTTGGGCTGTCCCCAGAGGATGAGGAGCTACAGCTGGAGTGGAAGTGGGCAGAGCCCAGGCTGCAGCAGGAGGCATTTCACCTCAGAGTAAAGTTGGGAGTTTTGATAGTTACACTGGCTGGGACACAATAATTATTTCACTGAGACCAAATCGAAATGGGCATGAAAATGGGGCAAGATTTTACCCTGGCAGGGAGGAGAGGACACTGGGGGAAGGAACAATACAAGCGATTTCTCTTATATTAATAACTCTCAAAGCTGCAAAAGTGGGTGGGGGGTTATTCAAATGAATGTAACTCTTCTGTTACCCTCAAACATCAGTGACACCAAATGCACAGACAGGACCATCAGGGGGCTGGCGCCAGAGGGATTATTCCTCCACCTCTGCAGCACCCGCCTGTGTGCTTGCGAACTGTTCTGTCTCCCTCCCTCTTCCAGGAAAACGCTTTTCTGCGATTTCACAATATTTGTACTGTGCTGGGGCTATTTTTAGGAGTTGGTGTGATGAAATACTCAGCATTGTAAACAGCGTGCACACACGTACGTCCCGTGTGTGTACTTGCTCAGCATGCCTGGCTGCTGAGAGAACAGGGGCCTGTGGAAAGCAGAGGGTGATCTTTGATAAGACGCTGGACCGCTGTCCCGAAAGCGCTCAAAACAGGAAGTGGCCACTAGACTCAAGTCACATTCCTGCCAGAGGCTGGACTCAAGCCCTCAGGCCGGGAATCCAGGGAATGCTGGGCTGGTGGTGTTTATTTGTGCTTGTGTCCGTGAAGCAATAGCTCCATTGCTCCTCCGTGAGGAGATTGCAGAATGTTCTGGCTAGAATAACCAGTCAAGATGGTGTCAGAAGACAAAAGCACAGCAGACCTAGTTTAGAGGCCTTCATTGGCTTGTATTTGTCCTTCTAGAATGAGCAACACCTCATTCTGTAACCTAGAGAAAAGGGTCAAGGAAAGCGGAAACCAGACCAAAAAGCTGATTGGTCTTTTCAAAGTTAAAGGTTTAAGCAGAAGGCTTCCCTACTGTGCTAGCTAAAACTGGCCTGTTTGGGAATTTGGCTACTATCTCTTCCTCTCTCCTGATTTCTGAGCAGCTCAGATAAACAGTTTCCACTTGGAGGTGTGGAAACTCAGCACAAACAACCTCTCATGTTTTGGTTTCGTGTGTTGGGCCTAGGGCAGGAGCTCTGTCCCAAGCCAGTGGCCTCCTGGTATTTCACTTCCCAGTGACCTGGCACCAGCATGCCTAACAAACACTCTTCTGTCCTGGCAGCCCTGTGTCTCTCATTTTTTTATTTTAATTTTTTAGAGACAGGGTCTTGCTCTGTCTCCCAGGCTGGACTGCAGTGCTGCAATCATAGCTCACTGCAGCGCTGACCTCCTGGGCTCAAGGGATTACCCACTTCTCAGCTTCCCAAGGCGCTGAGAATGCAAGCATGTGTCACCACGCCTGGCTAACTTTTAACTTTTTGTAGAAACAAGTTTTCACTGTAGTGCCCAAGTTGGTCTCAAACTCCTGGCCTCAAGTGATCCTCCCACCTTGGCCTCCAGAGTGTTGGGATTACAGGCATGAGCTGCTGCACCTGGCTCTGTCTCTTTCAAACACAAGTCCATAGTTTTGCTGACTCATGGTGGCAATGGGGAAAGGCCAGCAGAGAGTAGAGAAGAGGACACAGGCTTTTGCCACTGTGAGAGGAGGTAGTGGGAGAATTTGCAGATACCAGGGGACCAGAAAGCAGGGGACAGCTAGGGTTGGGGTCTGGGCTTCACCATAAGGACTTGTGTCACTTGGAGAAGCGACTCACCTCTGTGGAGGTCCCCATCTTTAAAATGAGGGTGCCATGGTGATTCTGTGAGTTCACGAGGGCACTGCATTCAGTGCCTGGCAAATTACAGTGCTTGGTAGGCGATGCCTGTGTCTGACACTCCTCCCCTGTGTTGTTACCTCCTAATAGCCAGCGAGGGGAGGTGTGGTGTCCTTATCTCATGCAGGAGCGGTGGGGACTGAGGCTCAGAGAGCCCATGGCCACAGAATCTGGGACTTGAAAACAGGCCCTCATAGCTCTTAGCACTGGCCTCATCTCACTTCTCATCACCAAAAAAAGAATCAGTGATCAGCTGGAGGGGCCAATCGAGGGTGGGAGGGTGGGAAGAGTGGTCCCTCCAAGGGGACCCAGAAAATGCCAGTGTGACAGTCCTGGGGGCCCCTGGCTGGGCAAGTGGAGGCGGAGGCTGCAGCCAGAGGACAGACCACTGGCCGGAGCCTGAGCCGGCAGGACTAAACCTCAGCCTCTGCAAGAGCCCCAGCAAAAGCCCAGCCCCGCACAACTGCTTTGCCCCTTGGTGGAAGCCCCCAGGCTGCATCTGGAATGGCACAGCTCCCACTCGAAGCACTGAGACACTGTCTCCAAGAGTCCTGCCCTTCTTAGCCAAGCCCTTTCCCTGGGTCAAAGGATAATGGTGGAGCTCTTTGGGGGTATGATGGAGGGGACTCAGGTCAGGTTTTGCAGGGAAGGCCCAATGACCAGTTACGAGGTCTAAGCTCTAATTTTTTTTATCTTGCCCAAATTCCTATCTAAGGAGTCTGAGGAGTCATGCCCTACAATCCATAAATTCTCATCAGATGGCTTTTATTTAACCCTATATACTGTGACTTAGTTTCCAAGATGACTCTGGCATATCGTTAAGAGACAAGGAAGAAAATGAAAATATTTTACCCCGAAACAGTTTCTCTGCCATATGTTGAAATGGCCGTGCAAAGATGCCCTTTGTGGGGAAATCCACATATGCAAAGAATCTCTAGTAACATGGCTAGATCTTTTTCTTCCAGGCCCTCCCAATCCTGAAGAGAGTAACTGAGAGTCTAGCACCTTTTAGACATCTGAACGGGAAACACTTGTCATCTGTTGTCTCTAAGGGCAGCCACGGTAAGACTCCAAAAGAACCTCGGCCTCCACAGTCTTTTATCTTAACCTGAATATTTCCTATTGATCCCAGGTCTTTAGACAAACTCCACCAATTGTCAACCAGAAAACGTTTACATTCACCTATAGCTAGGAAGCCCCCACCTTGAGTTGGCCCGCCTCTCTGGACCAAACCAGTGTATTTCTTAAATATATTTGATTGTTGTCTAATGGCTCCCTAAAATATATAAAACCAAGCTGCACCCCGACCACCTTGACAACATGCCCAGGCTGGAGTGCAGTAGCACGATCTCGGCTCACTGCAAGCTCCACCTCCTGGGTTCATGTGATTCTCTTGCCTCAGCCTCCTGAGTAGCTGGGATTACAGGTGCGTGCCACCACACCCAGCTAATTTTAAGTATTTTTAGTAGAGCTGGGGTTTCATCATGTTGGCCAGGCTAATCTCGAACTCCTGACCTCAGGTGATCCACCTGCCTGGGCCTCCCACAGTGCTGGGATTACAGGAGTGAACCTTGGCGCCCAGCCGGGCACATGCTTTCAAGACCTCCGGAGGGCTGTGTCACTGGCCATGGTCACTCGTGTTTGGGTCAGAATAAATCTCTTCAAATATTTTACAGTCTGACTCTTTTCGTCGACACTCAACTGAAGAACAGCCAAACTTGCTGGCGGAATGAAGCTGGCTCAGGTGACTATTTGCCAAGACACAGCTACAGGAAGAGGAGCCAAAGGGAGGTAGGAAGGCAGGGATGGCGGCTTTGAGGAGGGCTTACTGTGCCTGAGGTGACTATGGAATCAACATCCAGGTGCAGGCGGGACTCAGGCTTAGGATCCCCAGGAGAGAGCAGCGTTGAGGCAGGGAGAGTAGGGGCTGGGGGCAGAGAACCTAAGGCTCATTCTCACTGAATTCCTATAACTAAATGAAAAGGAAAGTCCCCATCTCTCCACACAAATACCAAAAGTTCAGTGGCTACTCCCTTTCCAAGCCCTACTTTTCTGCTTTGCAGATGAAAAATGAAAGTGTCCCCTCCTGCAGTCAGTCAGACTGTTCATAAACCAAGTCTTCGTGTGTAGCTTTGTGACTTCACTTCAGCCTCTGATTGGCCACCCTCCACAACCAATCAGACTGGTGGCAGGCCCCTACTTCATTTGCATAGGGTGTGAACCAGGTGACCAATGGGAAACCTCCAGACGGTATAAAGCCTAGAAAATTCTGTAGGCAGTGCTCTCCATGGATCCTCTTTGGCTTGCTCCTAGCCATGGAGTGTACTTTTGTTTTGATAAATCTGTGCTCTTCTTTGGTTGCTCTGTGTGTTTTGTCCAATTCTTTGTTCAAAACACCAAGAACCTGGATGCCCTCCGCCCATAACGGGGTTATCTGGCACAGCTGCTGGGAAAAGCCAGGGCTGCAATTTGCCCCGAGGGTAGGCAAGAGTTATCCGGTGTCTGCTCCCAAAGTCCAGGAATTAGCAAATACCCACCCACCACGAAGGCAACCCCCAGCCATGCAGGTGCACACCCTCTGCGCCCTCCCTCCCCACCTGCAGGTGGAGGCCAGGATGCCCAGCTAGGCACATTTTTTCCTCTCCTATCACCATTTTCACTCGTTAACATTGAGGACTAAGCTCTGATTTTTTTTAACTGCACTTTAGGTTTTGGGGTACATGTGAAGAACATGCAAGATAGTTGCATAGGTACACAGGTGGCAGTGTGATTTGCTGCCTTCCTTCCCTTCACCCATATCTGGCATTTCTCCCCGTGCTATCTCTCCCCAACTCCCCCCCCACCCCGCTGTCCCCCCAATAGACCCCAGTGTGTAGTGCTCCCCTCCCTGTGTCCATGTGTTCTCATTGTTCATCACCCACCTTGCCCAAGTTCCTATCTAAGGGGTGTGGGGAATCATAAATTCTCATCAGATGGATTTTATTTAACCCTGTACACTGTGACTTAGTTTCCAAGATGACTCTGGCATATCATTAAGAGACAAAAAAAGAAAATCAAAATATTTTTCCCCAAAACACGTTTCTCTGCCATATGTTGAAATGGCCGTGCAAAGCTGTCCTTTGTGGGGAAATCCACATCTGCAAAGAATCTCTAGTAACAGGGCTAGATCTTTTTCTTCCAGGCCCTCCCAATCCTGAAGAGAGTAACTGAGAGTCTAGCACCTTTTAGACATCTGAACGGGAAGCACTTGTCATCTGTTGTCTCTAAGGGCAGCCACGGTAAGACTCCAAAAGAACCTCGGCCTCCACAGTCTTTTATCTTAACCTGAACATTTCCTTTCTGCTGATCTCACGACTTTAGACAGACTCAACCAACTGTCAACCAGAAAATGTTTACATTCACCTATGGCCTGGAAGCCCCGCCCCCCACTTCCAGGTGTCCCGCCTTTCTGGACCCAACCAGTGTGTTTCTTAAATGTATTTGATTGACGTCTCATTTCTCCCTACAAGGTATAACACCCAGCTGCACCCCGGCCACCTTGGGCACACGTTCTCAGGACCTCCAGAGGCTGTGTCACGGGCCATGGGCACTCATATTAGTTTTTGTTTGGTTTTTTGAGACAGAGTTTTTGCTCTTGCTGCCCAGGCTGGAGTGCAATGGCGTGATCTCAGATCACCACAACCTCTGCCTCCCAGGTTCAAGCGATTCTCCTGCCCCAGCCTCCCAAGTAGCTAGGACTACAGGCACGCGCCACCACGCCGGCTAATTTTGTATTTTTAGTAGAGATGGGGTTTCTCCATGTTGGTCAGGCTGGTGTCGAACTGCTAACCTCAGGTGATCCACCCACCTCGGCCTCCCAAAGTGCTGAGATTACAGGCGTGAGCCACCGTGCCTAGCCTTCCAATTTGCCTCAGAATATATCTCTTAAAATATTTTAGAGTTTGACTCTTTTTATGGACAACAATAATGCCCAAAAGAAAGAAAAAGGCCAGGCATGGTGGCTCCCTCCTGTAACCCCAACACTGGAGGATCATGTGAGGCCAGGAGTTCAAGAACAGCCTGGGCAACAAAGTGAGATCCCATCTCTACCAAAAATTTTTTTAAATGAGCTATTTGGGAGGCTGAGGCAGGAGGATCCACTCTGAGCCTGGAGACCAAGTCTACAGTGAGCTGTGGTCTCACCACTGCACTCCAGAACAGAGCAAGACCCTGTCTTTAAAAAAGTAAAAGAGCCCCTCTTTCCCACCTCGTGGAAAGTACCCTATCTCGCATAGAAGAGATGGTCACTTAGTTATTCGTGCTCCAGGGAGTGCCCTTTCTCCACAGCCCTGCCCTCTCTGTTCCCTTCCCTGACCACAGCTGTCAATTCTCACCTAATCAATCCTCTCACAGCAGGCAGGTGAGACCCCGCAGGAAACAGCCCCCTATCATCTGTAACAACTTGACCTGCCTCTAAGCGCCCCCTGCACTCAGCTGGTGGGAGGAAAATGACCTTGAATCTCCCTGAGAGGTCCTCCCTGGGGATGTGCCCAGGGCTGTCGTCTTCCTTGGGGAGGGAGTGGGCTACTGGTCTACAGAGTTTGCTGGCAGACATCCATCGGTGGCCCTGTGGTCCCCTGGACTCTGCTGCCCTGTGCAGGTGGCCCAGCCTCCACCCCCGGCACCCTCAGCCGACTGCTTCCAGCATCTGTCATCCCTGGCTTCCGTCTGGGAAAGGCAACTGTGCACCCTCCCCCTATCCTCAGGCAGGCTCTTTGCCCTGAGCCCCTCCTTGCCTTCCCTGAGACTCAGGTTTTTGGGAGAAGCATCTGGAAATGTGCAGGCTGATGGGTCCTCCACTCTCTCCCTGCGTCACTCCTGGCAGAGCACAGAGCCCAGTCCTGCTGGAATGGGACAAAGAAAGGAGAGAAGTGCAGAGGGAGCGAGTGCAGCATTTCCAAGGCCACCCCACAGGCCTTATTTTTCCCGTCTGTTAAATGGAGATGATGCTAAAACCTACTTCCTTGAGTTTGCTAAGGATTAGAGGAAGGAATGCACGTGAGGTACTAGTGGGGCAGGAAAACAGGGTCTGGAGGCAGGGAAATGAAGGCCAATGCACTGACTCGAGGAAAAGCACCACGGTCTGGGGCAGGGAATCCGAGGCCAATTTACGATGACTTCTCAAAGCTGGATCAAAGGGAAAATCCCATCTCCCCACCCCGTGACAAAGGATCAAAGGCCACTCTCTCTATAGTCCTGTCCCTTCCACCAAGAGGGAGAGTGGCCACAGGGCATCCCTTCATCTGCACAGGGCGACAGTTCACTTCAGCATTTTTTTTTTTTTTTTTTTTTTTTTTTTTTTGAGACAGAGTCTTGCTCTGTCACCCAGGCTGGAGTCCAATGGCGCGATCTCGGCTCACTCAGCTTCCACCTCCTGGGGTCAAGTTAATCTCCTACCTCAGCCTCCCGAGTAGCTGGGATTACAGGCATGCATTGCCATGCACAGCTAATTTTTATATTTTTGGTAGAGATGAGGTTTCACCACCTTGACCAGGCTGGTCTGGAACTCCTGACATCAGGTGACACCTCTGCCTCTGCCTCCCAAAGTGCTGGGATGACAGTTATGAACCACCATGCCTGGCCAAGAATATCCTACGTTTACGGTGTGCTGTGATCCCTCCTGGGGGTAAAAACTCCATATTTGCTCTAAATTTCCTCCAAGCTACTCCAGGAGTATGATTTTCTGTTCTTTCCTGGTGAAACCACCTTTGCAAAATGATGAGGGAGACAGTGAAAGAGATCTAACTTAACCGACTCCATCTTGCTTCCAACCTCCCAGCTGTCCTTATTCATTCCTGGGCGTAGGCTGGACTCGCTTTGGGAGAAACTTCGTTTACAGGTTAAAACAAAGACCTTTCCCAAAGCAGACCTTTATCTCACCTGGGGACTAGATTGACTTTGTAGGACTAACATTAGCCACAAGATTAGAAATGATGGTGTAGGAGTCACGCAGCAGGAGGCTACAAGATTCCAGCCCTCCCTAAACTGCTCCTAAGATCAGTGCTTGAGATATTTTGCAGACCCTGCACTTGATGGGTCACTGGCACCACTCAGATCCATAAATTGGCTCATCTGGTCTTGTGGCCCCCACCCAGGAACGGGCTCAGCACAAAATGACAATTTCAACTCCCTATGACTTCCTCTGACCAATCAGCACTCCTGACTCACTGGCTTCCCCCCACCCGCCACGTTGTCCTTAAACATTCTGCTCCCTGAATGCCTTGGGAGGCTGATTTTTGAGTAATTGTAAAACTCTGTTTCTCCCACACAACCGGCTCTGCGTGAATTCTGTTGGGATTCCCCTGTCTTAATGCAGGCCACCCTGTGGGTGGTCACACTGGGATGCTGGAGGCCCCATGATAGTCTGCCCAGGGCCCTCCTGAGCCCCAAGGAGGCAGAGGCGGAAGGTGGCAGTGTGTGGCTACGGTTCCCATTTCTGAGCCTCGTTCTCTGGGAGGGGGCTCCTCATGTTAGAGAGCTTTAAACCAGAGCATCTCCACCTTGAGTGAGGGCTGGAAAATGAGGCTGGGGCTTGCTGGGCTGCATTCTCAGAAAGTGAGGTATTCCTAGCGTCTAGATGTTTGCGGTGAAGGGAACAGGTTGATCACATTTACTTAATAGGCCCGTGGTCTTTTTTTAGCCTGTATATAAATAAGTATTTTATTTTAAGACGAGGTTTCACCATATTGGTCGGGCTGGTCTTGAACTCCGACCTCAGGTGATCCGCCCACCTTGGCCTCCAAAGTGCTTGGATTACAGGCAGGAGCCACACACCCGACCATAAACAAGCATTATGCCTGGGGTGGACGTGTTCCTCCTCTTACTTTGGGGAAGGCCCTACTCTGTCTGTGAAGTAGCTGTTCCTTCACCGCCCTACTTTTGTCAACGAAAAGAGTCAAACTCTATAATATATTTGAAGAGATTTATTCTGACCTAAATATGAGTGACCATGGCCCGTGACACAGCCTCAGGAGGTCCTGAGAACATGTGCCCAAGGTGGCCGGGGTGCAGCTGGGTGTTATACCTTGTAGGGAGAAATGAGACGTCAATCAAATACATTTAAGAAACACACTGGTTGGGTCCAGAAAGGCGGGACACCTGGAAGTGGGGGGCGGGGCTTCCAGGCCATAGGTGAATGTAAACATTTTCTGGTTGACAGTTGGTTGAGTCTGTCTAAAGTCGTGAGATCAGCAGAAAGGAAATGTTCAGGTTAAGATAAAAGACTGTGGAGGCCGAGGTTCTTTTGGAGTCTTACCGTGGCTGCCCTTAGAGACAACAGATGACAAGTGCTTCATGTTCAGATGTCTAAAAGGTGCTAGACTCTCAGTTACTCTCTTCAGGATTGGGAGGGCCTGGAAGAAAAAGATCTAGCCCTGTTACTAGAGATTCTTTGCAGATGTGGATTCCCCCACAAAGGACAGCTTTGCACGGCCATTTCAACATATGGCCGAGAAACGTGTTTTGGGGAAAAATATTTTGATTTTCTTCCTTGTCTCAGTCAGGTTGGAAAGTAAGTCACAGCATACAGAGCAAAATACAATCCATCTGATGAGAAATTGTGGTTTGTAGGGCTCGACTCCCCAGAGCGCTTAGACAGGAATTTGGGCAAGACAGAAAAGTCAGAGCTCAGTCCTCACTTTGTTTATAGACTTGCTTTTGCTTTGTACTGTGGACTTGCCCTGAAAGATCCACGAACCCTCTCTTGGAGTCTGGATTGGGACTGCTTTCCTGTAACACCCACTGTCACCTCCCAGTGCTGTCACCTTGCCCGCTGCCTAGACAGAGCTGATTTGTCAAGACACGAGAATTCCAAGAGCAAACGTTCCAATTACATAGAGCCAACTGTGCGGGAGACAGGAGTTCTATTATTACTCAAACCAATCTCCCCCAGACTCAGGGATCAGAGTTTTTAAGGACAATTTGGTGGGTAGGGGGCTCGTGAGTGGGGAGTGCTGATTGGTTGGCTCAGGGATGAAATTATAGGGAGTTGAAGCTGTCCTCCCACTTTTTTTTTTGAGATGGAGTCCCGCTACATTGCTCAGGCTGGAGTGCAGTGGCACGATCTTGGCTCACTGCAACCTCCGCCTCCTGGGTTCAAGTGATTCTCCTGCCTCAGCCTCCTGAGTAGCTGGGATTACAGGCATGTGCCACCAAACCCAGCAAATTTTTTCTATTTTTAGCAGAGATGGGGTTTCACCATGTCGATCAGGCTGGTCTTGAGCTCCTGAACTCATGATCCCCCGCCTTGGCCTCCCAAAGTGCTAGGATTACAGGCGTGAACCGCCCCGCCTGGTCGGTTTTTACTATTATAATGAGCAAAGGGTCAGTCTGCAGACAGGTAAGCTCATAGTGTGCGTGCTCTCTCTAGGGTAAGTCCCTGCTAAAGATAGCTCTGCTCGAATGAGCTCAGTTCCGCTGCCAGTGCTGACGCTTATGTGTTGGTTGCATGGTCACCATGATGGCCCTGTCCCGAGGACACGGTCACTTCCTTGCTACCTGTCCTGCCTCGGGTTTGATACCTACATTTGCAGGGCACTTTCAGATGCTGCTGCAGCTGAAAATGAAAATGTCATTAAACCGTCACACTTGGCCCCCTCCATCTCTCCCATTGGGCCTCCTCTCTCTGATGGAAGCTTTGGTGGTGTTGTGGGCCCTGACTTCATGGCTGCCGCGAGGTGTGGGTCCAGGTGCGGGAGAGGCAGGCACTGCAGAGCTACTCAGGTGCACGGAACGGGTGCAGGAGAGCTCAAGGCTCAGGGCCTGGGAGGGCTGGGGGAGAGACGTTCCCACATGGCATGTGCTCATCACCTGGGGGGTGGGTGGAAGAGGTGTTGGGGAGGAAGATCCAGAGCAAAGTCTGGCACCAGTGACAGTGAGTGCTGGGCGCTGGCCTCGGTGGGAACAGGCTCGTCAACCCACGTGGCACTCCTCGCTTGTTCCCCGTCCCCTTATAGGACCCTTTGGTTGCTCAGGATCTCACACCTGCCCTCCAACCCACACTCGTCAGGTGCCCAGAGCTGCAGCTTCCTAGCCCGCTGCACATGGCCTGGTCAGCAGGTTCAAATGACCAATTCCCAGGTCCCAGCCCAGACCTCAGGATTACTGTAGAGGTGGCTGGACTCTGCATTGTAGACAAGATTTCAATGACTCTGGAAGTTGTACTGTGAACCACGACACTCCATTCTTGCTGGAACCAGCCTGCGGGCATCTGATGCCCTCCCACCCACCACGCTGCTTTCTGGTTCAGCACCGAAAGTGGCTTCCAGCAGAGGACACTCTGGAGGGACACATTCACACCCGGGACCCAGGCCCAGGTGAGATCTGGAGGCTGTAGGAACGGTGGGGGGTGGGGGGGTGCTTTGGCCCAGGTCACGAATCTCCAGGGACATCCCCTGCAGAGTGGACCAGGGAGAATATGTTAGAGAGTCTTGGCGCGATGGTGTCGGGGTCACATCCTGCAAGAGAGGCCATGGAGCCAAGCAGCACTGCAGCTCTGTGGGGCGTGAGGGCCTTACCTGCGGCTCCATGCCCTGTCCCTCATCACATCCCACATGTAGCCTGTCGGTGATGAAACCTACCATCACGCTCCCTGCAAAACCCACTGGTCACGCTCCCTGCAATAACCAGCTGCCTGATAAAAATTAAGATCTGTCTGCCAGGCCCTGTGGCGCACACCTGTGACCCCCGCACTTTGGGAGGCAGGCGGGAGGACCCTTGAGCTTAGGAGTTCAAGACCAGCCTGGGCAACATATGGAGACCTATCTCCAAAAAACATTGTCATAGCGAACAAAGTTCCTGAATATTTGGAATATGCTGATGCCTTTCCTCCTGGATCTATTCCGAGAAGGTACTCGGTGAGCTCCCGGTTCTGAAACAGCCTGGCGCGCTGGACGCTCGGCTTCCACTCTCCGGCTCGCCGGCGCCCCCTGCTGCCCACGGTTGGGAAACGGGAAAGCAGCAGGAGTGCCCGGGACAGACGGGGCGCATCACAGCTGCTCTGCCTGTAACGCGCCCAGCTGGAAAGCGGCTCGGTGTCCTGTAAGTACCGTGTGGCGGGTGTGTTCAGAGCAATCTCCGCAGTAAATGCAGCGCAGCCCTGATTCGCGCGGCCTGTTGGAAGCCTTCCCAGAGCCGCACACGAGTGCATGGGTGGGAAGTTCCCTCCACTCCCTGCGGGAAGGTCGTCGGAAAACGTGGCTGCCCCCGGGAGGGTAAGGGCGGGGACTCCCGGGGGCGCGGCGGGGCCGGGTGGAGTCTCAGCGCCCCTGGGAGTGCTCTGGTCACACGGCCTGGAAGAGCCGGATCGGAAGCGGTGCCGCGTTTCCTGAGACCGACAGCAGCTGCGAGCTGCTTCATCCAGTCACTGCTCATCCCCCCGGATCCCCGGATCCCCGAGGGAGGGCGCCGAGTGCGCGATGCGGGAGGAACACGCTGCAGGGTCCAGTGTCCATGGGGAGCAGCAGGGTTTGAGAGAGGCGTGGGGGGGTCTCAGGAAGCATTTTGGACCAACCCAGGGGATAATGAGACACCACTGGAAGTTTCCCAGCAGACGCAGTGCTGGGGGCTTGCGCTTCTAGAAGATTCTCCGGAGGGCTGAGACGTGGCCCAGTGTGGAAATGGAGAAGCACCCAGGTGTCTGTGGGAGTCCGGGCAGCCTTTGCTCAGGGCATTTTCAGGGAATCTTGCTACGTGACAGGCGCCCTCCTAAGCTCTAGGGCCGTGGACCCCAACCTTTTTGGCACCAGGGTCTCGTTTTGTAGAAGACACTTTTTCCAACAACGGGCGGTGAGATGGTTGAGGGATGAAACTGTTCCACCTCAGATCATCAGGCATGAGATTCTCATAAGGAGCCCACAGCCTGGATCCCTGGCAAGCGCGGTTCACAATAGGGTTCACCGCCTATGAGCTCCTGATGCCACCGCTCGTCACACAGGAGGGGAGCTCCTGATGCCACCGCCCGTCACACAGGAGGGGAGCTCCTGATGCCACCGCTCGTCACACAGGAGGGGAGCTCCTGATGCCACCGCTCGTCACACAGGAGGGGAGCTCCTGATGCCACCACTGGTCACACAGGAGGGGAGCTCCTGATGCCACCGCTCATCACACAGGAGGGGAGCTCCTGATGCCACCGCTCATCACACAGGAGGGGAGCTCCTGATGCCACCACTCATCACACAGGAGGGGAGCTCCTGATGCCACCGCTCGTCACACAGGAGGGGAGCTCCTGATGCCACCGCTCATCACACAAGAGGCGGAGCTCCTGATGCCACCACTCGTCACACAGGAGGGGAGCTCCTGATGCCACCACTGGTCACACAGGAGGGGAGCTCCTGATGCCACCGCTCATCACACAGGAGGGGAGCTCCTGATGCCACCGCTCATCACACAGGAGGGGAGCTCCTGATGCCACCGCTCGTCACACAGGAGGGGAGCTCCTGATGCCACCGCTCGTCACACAGGAGGGGAGCTCCTGATGCCACCGCTCGTCACACAGGAGGGGAGCTCCTGATGCCACCGCTCGTCACACAGGAGGGGAGCTCCTGATGCCACCGCTCGTCACACAGGAGGGGAGCTCCTGATGCCACCGCTCGTCACACAGGAGGCGGAGCTCCTGATGCCACCGCTCGTCACACAGGAGGGGGGCTCCTGATGCCACCGTTCGTCACACAGGAGGGGGGCTCCTGATGCCACCGCTCGTCACACAGGAGGGGGGCTCCTGATGCCACCGCTCGTCACACAGGAGGGGGGCTCCTGATGCCACCGCTCGTCACACAGGAGGGGGGCTCCTGATGCCACCGCTCGTCACACAGGAGGGGGGCTCCTGATGCCACCGCTCGTCACACAGGAGGCGGAGCTCCTGATGCCACCGCTCGTCACACAGGAGGCGGAGCTCCTGATGCCACCGCTCGTCACACAGGAGGGGGGCTCCTGATGTCACCGCTCGTCACACAGGAGGGGAGCTCCTGATGCCACCGCTCGTCACACAGGAGGGGAGCTCCTGATGCCACCGCTCATCACACAGGCTGAGCTCCTGATGCCACCGCTCATCACACAGGAGGCGGAGCTCCTGATGCCACCGCTCATCACACAGGAGGGGAGCTCCTGATGCCACCGCTCATCACACAGGCTGAGCTCCTGATGCCACCGCTCGTCACACAGGAGGGGAGCTCCTGATGCCACCGCTCATCACACAGGCTGAGCTCCTGATGCCACCGCTCATCACACAGGAGGCGGAGCTCCTGATGCCACCGCTCATCCACAGGAGGGGAGCTCCTGATGCCACCGCTCATCACACAGGCTGAGCTCCTGATGCCACCGCTCATCACACAGGAGGCGGAGCTCCTGATGCCGCCGCTCGTCACACAGGAGGGGAGCTCCTGATGCCACCACTAGTCACACAGGAGGGGAGCTCCTGATGCCACCGCTCATCACACAGGAGGGGAGCTCCTGATGCCACCGCTCGTCACACAGGCTGAGCTCCTGATGCCGCCGCTCGTCACACAGGCTGAGCTCCTGATGCCACCGCTCGTCACACAGGAGGGGAGCTCCTGATGCCACCGCTCGTCACACAGGCTGAGCTCCTGATGCCGCCGCTCGTCACACAGGCTGAGCTCCTGATGCCGCCGCTCATTACACAGGAGGGGAGCTCCTGATGCCACCGCTCGTCACACAGGCTGAGCTCCTGATGCCGCCCTCGTCACACAGGAGGGGAGCTCCTGATGCCACCACTCAACACACAGGCTGAGCTCCTGATGCCGCCGCTCGTCACACAGGAGGCGGAGCACTCTGATGCCACCACTCGTCACACAGGAGGCAGAGCTCAGGTGGTAACACGAGCCAGGGGGAGCAGCCATCAATACAGAGGAAGCCAGAGGAAGCGTCACCTTCTGGCCGCTCACCCCCTGCTGGGCGGTCTGGTTCCTAACAAGCCCTGAGCAGGTACCAGTCCAGGGCCTGGGATTTGGGACCTCAGCTCTAGGGACAGCGCAGACAAGAGCAACAAAGCCAGAGCCGGTTCGGCATGAATGTTACAGTTCAGTTTGGGGTAGGTGAGGCTGAGATGAACACACAGCATTTCTGGTGTGAGCTTGCATCCTGTGAAGTGGGTTGATTCAGGAAGGACACAGCTGGGACAGGCTCGGGTTTGCTGTCTGGCCCAGGCTGGTAGGGGAGGCTGTTTGAGGGGAGACATCTGCAGAGGCTTGCAGGCAGTGAGGCAGGAAGTCAGGTGGCCACCGTGGGAAGAGGAATAGCCAACACGGGCCCTGGAGGGCCAACGGGGCACTGGGCGGTACAGTCAGCCACAACACAGCACAGCTGCATCCGGAGCAGGAGGCCTGATGGCGCGGCCTGGGGTGACCTTGGGCGGAGGAGTGGAAGGACCGGGCTCGCCGTGTAGGGGTCCCCATAGGCTGCTGAGGCAGGCCATCACTTAGGGGACTGCAAGGGTCCAGCACGGTGGCCTGGTCCTGGGGTGGGAGGGCTGGAAGCCGGCGAGTCTGCAGCTGTAGCCGCTCCAGACAGAGCTGAGGAACAGCCAGGACCTGTGCTGAAGCGTGGTTTATTTCTTGTTTAAAAAATATGATTATTACTATTTTGTGATATCCCTTTGGGTCATTTTCTTTTCCTCTTTTTTTTTCTCACAGCCATGGTTTTTAAAGATACCGGTTTGTGGAACCAGAGGTGGGAGTCACTGAGTCAGAATGACCCTAACCAACCACGACATGTAACCCCTGGAGAACAAGTGAGCCGACCCGATGAGACATACCAAGGCAAAGAATCTCAAAGTGCAGGGGCCGGTTCAGAGCCTGTCAGGACTGTGAGAACCACCGCAGGAAGACGTCGCGTGCGGAAGGTCGCAAGGTGGGGTGGCTTCTGGATGGGAATCCGCACACAGCTCGCTGGCCTGCGGGTCCCCCCAGGATTGTTAAGACACTAGCTCTTCCAAATTGAGCCGGGAGCAGAGCCTGAAGTAGCTCTTGCAGATACTCAAGTCAGCCATTTTAATAAACTGATTTTTAGTTGCGAAAAAAAAAGAAGAGCTGGGAGCTTCTGGCCTGCAAAGCCAGGAGAATCTGCTGCAGTGGGAAAGACTGCGGAGGCCCCACTGGGCGGGGGCTCCAGGTCTGTGTGTGGACAGGATGCGCTGGGGGCTCACAGGTGGGGATGAGGGGAAGCAATGGAGCTGGGAAGCCCCAGGAGGGTTTTTTATTTTTGTTTTTGTTTTTTTTTGAGACAGAGTCTCAAAAAGAGTTGCCCAGGCTGGAGTGCAGTGGCAAGATCACGGCTCACTGCAGCTGCCAACTCCAGAGCTCAAGCAAGCCTCCCACCTCCCACAGGTGTGAGCCACCACGCCTAGTGTTTTATTTTTGTAGATGGAGGTCTCACTGTGTTGCCCAGGCTGGTCTTGAACTCCTCGCAATCAGAGGACTAGGTTTGGTGATAGATCAGATGGGCTCAAGACTGGGGTTGGGGGTGAAGTTCAGACTCGGGGCTCCAGCCACTGAGCAGTGAAGGGAGGCAGCCGTGCTTTGAGGTGCAGGAGACCCGGACAGCAGCAGCGGGTGCAGACGGCTCGGAGGAGCTGCCGTGGGATAATGTGGGGAGTACTGGGCGCCGGCTCATGCTGCGGGTGTGGAGACAGACACCGAGAATGGCAGTAGCTTGGCTAGGACCGTGCGGCAGAAGGCTGGAGGGCCGGGCCCCAGTCCAGGTTCTGCAGCTCACAGCTAAGGTGCTCACCACAGCCCTGGGGGCGGCCTGAGATATTCAGGCACTAAACTCAACTTCTCAGCCCCCCGCTGTGTGTTGTGGTGATGCCAGAGCATTTGCTGTACTGGGTAATTCTAACGTCGTGACAGCACACAGCACGCTGCTGCTCGGGGCCTTAGAGTTTCCTGTTCTCCGCTTGGAATGCTCTCCCTCTAGACACATGCGTGGCTCCCTCTCCATTTTCTCTCAAGTGCCGTCTTCCCGTGTCACTGGAAAGCCCCGTCCCTGCCGCAATCACTTACATTCTCCAATGCCTGCATTTATTTTCCTGTAGCGCATCCCTAGTGGGGGCCGTGGGGAGCTGTGGAGCTGGCCAAGGGGCTGATTTGTCTGATTCTCATCTGCGTCACCTGCAGTGAGACACATTGAGAAAATGGGTCCTCCAGAGCCATTTCCACGTGGTTTGGGGCAGGCACAGAGCCTGTGCAAACTCCCTCACTTGTGCGTCCCTGCGAGGACACCTGCGTCATGCCTGGCTGGCAAGCTTCCCCTTCTTCTGGTGGCCTCAGCCCAATTTTCTCTTGGAAACACTCCCTGTGCCCTGTCTGAGCACTCGGGTATGGGATATGTGTTGGTGACTTTTGTGGAAACCTGATAGAAGAGGACCCAACTCCACACTACCGCCTCTGGGCAGTGGGGTGTCCCTGGGGCCGTGATGGCTGATGGCTGTGGAAAGAGCCTTCCCGGAGTTGAAGCCACAGCGGAGAGACGGAGAGCCGGAGAGCCGGAGAGCCGGAAAGCCGGAGAGCCGAGCCACAGGGGAGAGCCGGAGAGCCGGAGAGCCGAGCCACAGGGGAGAGCCGGAGAGCCGAGCCACAGGTGAGCCGGAGGGAGGTGTCATGAGAGTTTGCGCAGGGGCGTTCAGCCACAGCTAGCCTGCTTTTCCGCGCCCCAGCCAGTGCACTTGCTCTTTAATCGGGGCACAACCTAAAGCTTCCAAACCAGCCTGGTGCCTCTGCCCAGCTGTGTGGTCCCGGCCCGGAGCCCAGGATGCAATGGAAGTGCAAAGCTGGGAGTGAGCTCAGGTCACAGAGCCAGGCTTTCACAGTCTTGTCCCCAGCATTGCTCTCTCGTCTCAGGGGCTGCCTCGTTTTCTCTGTTCTCTATGGCATGGTGCTTATTTTTAGAGTCTGGCATTTCATTTCTAGTGGAATTCAGCAAGTAATTCTTAATAAACCTTCCTGTGTTGCAAGAGCTCTGGGCAGGGCATGGTGGCTCATACGTGTCATCTGAGCACGGTGGGAGGCTGGGGTGGGTGGATCACTTGAGCTCAGGAGTTTGAAACCAGAATGGGCAACAGAGTGAGGTCTCATCTCTACAAAATATAAAAAGAAAGAGCTTCCGCTGGGTCACAGGTGGGGTCAGTTCTGCTGCGGATGGTGCGGTGAATTCACTCACGGGAGCCAAGGGCCACTCCTCCCGCCCTGGTGGGATCGCTGAAGCGTGAGGGCCGTTTCCAAGGCTCCTTTTTTCCTGGTGATTCTTTGCTTAAGGAGAAGGTTTCTGATTTTCTGTTAGATTTTTTCTTTTCCTTTTTTTTTTTTTTTTTTTGAGACAGGGTCTCACTCTCTCAGTCTGCAGTGCAATGGCATGATCTTGGCTAACGGCAGCCTCAACCTTCTGGGCTTAAGTGATTCCCCCACCTCAGCCTCCTGAATAGCTGGGACCACAGGTGAGTACAACCACGCCTGACTAGTTCTTTAATTTTTCAGAGAGAAGGCTGGTCCCTTTATGAAAATTTACGCACAAGCAATCCTCCTCCTGCCTCAGCGTCCCAAAGTGCTGGGATTACAGTATGAGCCACCTCACCGGGCCAGCATTCTTTAAAAATTGGGATATTTGGTGGAATACAGAAAAGTCTACAAAGCACCTTACCTCAGAACAGCTTAAAGAATAGTTTGAAAATAAACACCCATGTGGCCAAGACCCAAGTCAGGAACTAGAACAAGCGGGAGTCCGAGCCCCCCCTGCAGGCTCCTGCCTGACACCACCGCCTCCCTCCGGCAGCGGCCCCTGCCCCGCTTCCCACCGTCAACCTTTCCTTGACAATGTTACCACCCTCCACACCTAAGCAGTGTTTGATTTGCCCTATTTTTTATTTTTTTGTAATGTATTTAAAAAGGCAAAAGATTTATATGATCTGAAGAGAAACCAGAGTACATGTAGCGTGAAGGAATAAGACGCTCTGTGTTGGATAGTGCCTTGCTGTCACAAAACACTTCAAACGGAAATGCACGGGTCTTAACCACATTGGATCTGTTTTGACACAGGCCAGTAACCCACACTCCTACCAAGACAGAGAACATTTCTGTTGCCTCAGAAGCTCCCTCTTGCCCTGCCCTGGCCGGCAGCCCTCGCCCCTGGCCACCAGGAAGGAACAGTTGTTCTGCTTGGTTCCATCACATGGTTCAGCTGGTTCTCGGCCTCTGGGGAGTGATTCCGGCGCTGGGTTTCAGGTCGTCCTTGCTGCTGCCCGCACCAGGAGCTCGTCCCTTTGCGTGGCTGAGCAACACTCCACAGGGAAAGGACTCACGGTTCGTTTATTCTCCTTCTTTCCTTCCAGACCCTCTGGACATGGACACGGTTTGTTTACTCGTCCTCCTGCGGCGGGACGCGGGGACTGTGCCGCCTCTGGCTATCAGTTATGAATAAAACTGATAGGAGTACTCTTTTTGGAGCGCGTATGTTTTTATTTTTCTTGGGATAAATGCCTAAAAATGGGAATTACTGGTCATAGGGTAATTGCATCTTTTAAAGAAATTTTCCATTTTCCACAGCGGTGGTAACATTTGCCCTCCCAGCAGCAGTGTTTGAGGGTTCTGGTTGCTCCCATCCTCAGTAGAACGCAGCGTCTGTGTTCTGTTTCCGACAGCCGGTGGGTGTCCATTGTTATCTGACGGTGGTTTTTATTTGCATTTCTCTGATGCTTTCTGTGTTGAGCACATTTCCGTGCACTTTCTGGCTCCTCATGTCTCCTTTGGGGAGTGTCTGTTTAAATTTCCTGCCCATACATTTACTGGGTTATTCTTTTGTTACTGGGTTGTATAAATTCATCGACTAATCTACATACACACTTTGTTAAATCCACGTATGGCAGATTTTTTCCTCCTAGTCAGTCTTGGTTATTTATTTTCTTAACCGTATCTTTTGATGAGCAGAAGTTTTTCATTTGCTGATGTCTGCAAGGGGTTTCTCAAGGTTATTACATTTTTCCGAGAACCGACTTTTGGCTTCCTCGATTTCCTCCATCGTGTATTTTCTATTCTACTGAATTCTGCTCCTGTCTTGATCATTTCCTTCCTCCTTCAGTGTTTAATTTGCTCTTCTTTCCCTAGCTGCTTAAGATGGATGCACAGATTCACCTTCTTTTTCACTTATTTGTTGAGATGGAGTTTCATTCCTGTTGCCCAGGCGGGAGTGCAATGGCACAACCTCGGCTCACTGCACCCTCTGTCTCCCAGATTCAAGCGATTCTCCTGCCTCAGCCTCCCGAGTAGCTGGGATTACAGGCATGTGTCACCACACCTGGCTAATTTTGGTATTTTCAGTAGAGATGGGGTTTCACCTTGTTGGCCAAGGTGGTCTTGATCTCTTGACCTTGTGATCTGCCCATCTCAGCCTCCCAACGTGCTGGGATTGCAGGTGTGAGTCACCGCGCAGCCCCCACTGGCCTCAGGAAGGAATTCCGTGAGTTTTTGATTCCAGTGACCAAAGAAGCTGGACAGCAATGCAGAGAAGGCAGGGGCCGCGGAAGGCTGCAGGAGCTTTGGGGGATGCTGCCGGGGCCGTGGAGGGCTGCAGGAGCTTTGGGGGATGCTCCCGGGGCTGTGGGGGGCTGCAGGAGCTTTGGGGGATGCTCCCGGGGCCATGGGGGGCTGCAGGAGCTTTGGGGGATGCTGCCGGGGCCGTGGGGGGCTGCAGGAGCTTTGGGGGATGCTGCCGGGGCCGTGGAGGGCTGCAGGAGCTTTGGGGGATGCTGCCGGGGCCGTGGAGGGCTGTAGCAGCCTCCGGGGCCTGCTCCAGGAACAGGGAGAGGCTCCTGTCTGGAAAGCCAGGGGAACACCGAACAGGAAGGGGAGCTGAAGAGAGGAGCAGAAGAGCAGTATCATGTGATGGAAAAGCATGAAAGGACCTGGGGAAAGGGGAGTAGACTGGTTTGGCTAGAGCCAAGGGTTGGAAGATCAGAATTTGGAAATATTCAGAAAAATACATGCTTTCACTTTCCAGTAACAGGGAACCCAACCAAACCTGGGTCAAACTCTAACTTTTAATCCAGCAATGGACTGACTCATGTTCTGAAAAAGTCAGGAGGTATGGCGGGCCTCAGACAAGGCCAATCCAGAGTTCAAAGCCACACCAAGGACTTTGCATTTGTATCTCTCCTCTCTTCTTCTGGAGGCTTCGTCCTGACTCTACCTCCCTGGCTTGAAGCCAATGTGCCAAGTGACCAATTTGCCAAAAACATGATTTAAGGAATATACTTCTTTAAAACAGTCAATGAACATGCACACGCGCGCGCACACACACACACACACCCACGGATTTTGAGGTGGAGTCTTGCTCTGTTACCCAGGCTGGAGTGCAGCGGTTTGCCGCTGAAACGGCTTACAATCATGCACCTCCTAGCATTTATGCATGCCCGTGGGGAATCCTCCTCTTTTGTGTGGGCTGCACCTAGTGACTTGTTTCTAATGAACAGAATGAAGAAGAGGTGATGGGATGTTCCTTCTGCAGTTAGGCTTTGAAAGACTAAGACTCTGGGACTTACTTGGCTTGCACTTTCTCTCTCTGGCTCTTTTTCGTGTTTGTTCTGATGCAGCAAACTGTCTTGTTGTGAGATGCCTCGTGGAGAGTCCCAGTTGGCAAGAAACTGAGCAGTGAGGTCCTCGGCTGGCCCAACAGCCTGAGAGAAGCTGAATCCTGCTAACAGGAGGAGTGACTTTGGAAGTGGAACTTCCCCTATTGAGCCTTCAGATGAGACCATAACCTCAGCCAACACTTTGATTGCAGCCTCACGAGAAAACCTGAAAAGAGAACTCATCTAAGTTGTGCCAAATTTCCTGACACAGACACTGTAAGCTAATACATGTATGTTGTTTTCAGCCTCTACGTTTTGGGGTAATTTGTTATTCAGCAATAAATGATAAATAGGTACACTACTGGGATTTTTTTTTTTTGAGAAACAGGGTTTCGCTCTTGTTACCCAGGCTGGAGTGCAATGGCGCGATCTCGGCTCACCGCAACCTCCGCCTCCTGGGTTCAGGCAATTCTCCTGCCTCAGCCTCCTGAGTAGCTGGGATTACAGGCACGCGCCACAGTGACCAGCTAATTTTTTGTAATTTTTAGTAGAGACGGGGTTTCACCATGTTGACCAGGATGGTCTCGATCTCTTGACCTCGTGATCCACCTGCCTCGGCCTCCCAAAGTGCTGGGATTACAGGCTTGAGCCACCGCGCCCGGCCACTACTGGGATTTTTACTGGAAGTCTATTAAGCCTATAGGTCACTTTGGGGAGAAATGACTTCTTTACCATAGCTGAGGTTTCCAGGCAAAGAACAATACAACTATATTATGTAGACTTTCTTCAATATCTCTCAGACTTTTATGATTTTCTTTCTAGAGATCTTGCACATTTATACTGAGAGACTTCATTTTTTTGTATTATTGTAAACTGTTAATTTTCTTTTCTAATTATTTTTAGATAGATTTTAATCCAGCAATATTGTTAAACTATTTTATTAATTCTAATAACTTATCTGTACATGTTTTAGGTTTTCTACCTGTACAATTATACCATCCTCAAAAAATGTTTTTTTCTCTCTCTAGATCTTTCATTATATTATTACTGCTTTGCTATGATGTCTAGATCCTCAGTACAATGTAGAATGGAAATTATAATCCTGGGGCCTAATTGTCTCATTTCGGGTCTCCCAGAATCTTCTATCATTTCTTATGATGATCTGTCACTTCGTGTGATAATCTGGTATCTTTCTTCCTTCTTTTTCTTTCTTTTCTTCCTTCCTTCCTTCCTTTTTATAGACACACTTCATTGTTTATGAAGTTCCTTACAAGGCCGGGCATGGTGGCGTACTCCTGTAATCCAAGCACTTTGGAGGCCAAGGTGGGTGGATCACCTGAGGTCGGGAGTTCATGACCAGCCTGACCAACATGGTGAAACCCCATCTTTAAAAAAATAAATAAATAAAAATGTAAAAAAAGAAGTTCCTTTCTACGGGGGTGGTGATGGGCATCTATAGTCCCAGCTACTTGGGAGGCTGAGGCAGGAGGACAATCGTTTGAACCCAGAAGGTGGGGGTTACAGTGAGCCAAGATTGTGGTACTGCACTCCAGCCTGGGTGACAGAGTGAGACTCTGTCTCAAAAAAAAAAACAGTTTCTTTCTAATCCAAGTTTGCTTAAACTTTAAAAAAATACTCATAAATCAATGTTGAATTTTATTTAATTATTTTTTCCGCACTGAATTCTACGAATATGAGTAAGATTGGTCTATGACTTTCCTTCCTCACACTCTCCTCATCCAAGTTTGGTGCCTAGATTATGCTACTCTGATGAAATGAGTGGAGAGCATTACCCTATTTTCCTTCTTTCATTCTTCTTCTGTTTTTATTTAGGGTCTCACTGTCATCTGGCCTGGAGTGTTCTGGCATGGTCATTGCTCACTGCAGCCTCAATCTCCCAGGCTCAAGTGATCCTCCTGCCTCAGCCTCCTGAGCTGCTGGGGCCACAGGTGTGTGCCACCATGCATGGCTAATTTAAATTTTTTTCTGTAGAGATGGGGTCTTGCCATGTTGCCCAGGCTAGTCTTGAACTCCTGGGGTCAAGCAATCCTCCTGCCTTGGACTCCCCAAGTGTTGGGATTATAGGCATAAGCCACTGTGCCTGGCTAGCCCTATTTTCCATTATCTGGAAGAGTTTGTGTAAGTGGGTTTTTTTTTTTTTTTTTGAGACAGAGTCTCATTCTGTTGCCCAGGCTGGAGTGCAGTGGCATGATCTCAGCTCACTGCAACCTCCACTGCCTCCCAGGTTCAAGCAATTCTCATGCTTCACCTTTCTGAGTACCTGGGATCATAGACATGCGCCAGGCTACCATGCTGGGCTAACTTTTGTATTTTTAGTAGAGATGGGGTTTTACCATGTTGGCCAGGCTGGTCTCGAACTCCTGACCCCTAGTGATCTGACTGCCTCAGCCTCCCAGAGTGCTGGGATGAGCCACCACACCTGGCCTGTATACAATTTTCATTATTTGTTCCTGCACATTTGGTAGAAACTGCCAGTGAAGCCATCTGTGCTTAGATGGGAAAATGTCTATTTGGGAAAAGATTTTTCACTGCTGATTCAGTGTCTTTAAAAATCTATTTTTTTCTGCATTAGTTTTGTTAAATTTCCAGGAATTTATTCATTTTATCTTAGAATTTTAAATTTATTGACACAAAACTTACATGATCTTTTTTTATTTTTAAATATCTAAGGCATTTCAATAAATTTTTCAGAAGTTAGGGAATTACATGGGTATTTCAAATCATCACTTCTGGCCTAGTTTATCTGTTGTCTCCCCCGTTTCATCAATTTCTGCCTTTTGTTTGTTAGTTCCTTCTTTACTCCGTTTGGGTGCGGTTTACCATCTTTGTAAGTTCCCGAGATAGATGATTAGCGCCTTACCTGCTTAGCTCCTTCCCGTCAGCTGCTTCCTTCTGCTGTGCACACCTGGAAGTGTAACATACTCAGTATGGCTTTAGCTGTACTCCACAAACATCGTGTTTCCTGCTTTCATTACGGCTTACTAAGAGCATTTTTAACTTTTATCATCCTTCGTCGTTCGACCAAAATCGGTTATGTAAAAGTGTGTTTGCTAATTTTCAAACGTGACTGATGGATTTCTAGCTTAGCCGCATTGTGGACAGAGAATATGCTCTGTACGATTTTAATTATTTGACGTTTTTTGGACTTGGAATGTGGTTAATATTTATAAAAGTCCTGCTTGGGCTTGTAAATATTGTGTGCTGTTAAGGGAGACTATATTTGTCTATTAGACCAAGTGGATTAATGCAGTTATTCGGCATTTACTGTGCTTATTGTGTTTTTTGTTTGTTTTTTGAGATGAAGTCTTGCTTTGTCACCCAGGCTGGAGTGCAATGGCATGGTCTTGGCTCACTGCAACCTCTGCCTCCCGGTTCAAGCCATTCTCCTGCCTCAGTCTCCAGAGGAGCTGGGATCACAGGCACGCACCACCACGCCCAGCTAATTTTTTGTATTTTTAGTAGAGATGGGGTTTCACCATCTTGGTCAGGCTAGCCTGGAACTCCTGACATTGTGATCCGCCTGCCTCGGCCTCCTAAAGTGCTGGGATTACAGGCGTGAGCCACCGCGCCTGGCCTATGTGTGCTTGTTGTTTACTTATCTGTTTATTCTAATAATTACTGAGGCAGGGACCTTAATTTCTTCCATGATGATTAGGGATTTTTCTACTTTTTATACATTTCTGTCAAATTTCTCTTTATATGTTTTTAGGTTGTGTTGTTATGTCCATATACATTTAAATTTTATATATCTTCTTGATGAATTGAACCCTTTAATATAGGTGACCATCTTTATACAAACACATCTGCCATCAAGCCTACTTTCTCAGGTACCAATATAGCTCCCCAGCTTTGGGGTTGGGGCATTGGTGTAGACACGAGATGCTTTTTCCCACCCATTTACGTTCATGTCACCTCTATTCTTAAGTTTTATGATGTGTCTTTTTTCCTAAATGAATTTTTCCACATTCAAGGTTCCTTGTGGTGTTTATCATCTACAGCAAGTCAGCTGTCAACAAATTCTGTTCATTTTTCTTCTTCTGAAAATGTTCAATTTCACGTTATTCTCGAAGGGTCTTTTCTCTGCACGTAGCATTCTGACGCCTGTTTTCCGTCAGCCCTTCGCAGTGCCTTCCCCTCCCTTCCACCCTTCGTGCTTCCTGAAGCACAGCTGTCGGTCCCCCGGACATGACGCATCCTTTCTCTCTGGCTCAAGAGTTTTTCTTTGCCTTAATTTCCATGTTTGGCCGATTTTAAGCCTCTGTTTTTTCACATATTTTTTTCTTAACCACAGTCTTCTCTTCTTCTATGACTGATAACACAGATGTTAGACCTTTTCATATTATCAGCGGTTGGAGACCAGGCTGGCCAGCATGGCGAAACCCTGTCCCTGCAAAAATTAGCCGGGCGCTGTGGTGTGCGCCTGTAGTCCCAGCTACTCGGGAGGCTCAGGCAAGAGAATCGCTTGAATCACGGAGGCAGAGGTTGCAGTGAGCCAAGTTTGTGCCATTATACTCCAGCCTGGGCAACAGAGTGAGACTTTGTGTCAAAAAAGAAAAGAACTCCTGACCTCAGGTGATCGGCCTGCCTCAGCCTCCGAAAGTGCTGGGATTACAGGAGTGAGCAACCACACCTGGCCTGTTTTCTTCTTTATTACCCATTTTTTTGTATTTTTTTTAAAGACAGGATCTGGCTCTGTCACCTAAGCTGGAGTACAGTGACATGATCATAGTTCACTGGAACCTTGAACTCCTGGGCTTAAGCTATCCCCCTACCTCAGCCTCCCAGGTAGCTGAACCTATAGGCACACACGCCACGCCCACTAATTTTTAATTTTCTAGTAGAGACAGGGTCTCACTATATTGCCCAGACTGGTCTTTATTTTTACTTTTTTTTTGAGATGGAGCCTTGCTCTGTTGCCCAAGCTGGAGTGCAGTGGCATGATCTCGGTTCACTGCAACTTCTGCCTCCCAGGTTCAAGCGATTCTCCTGCCTCAGCCTCCCAAGTAGCTGGGACTACAGGCAGCCACCACCACACTCAGCTAATTTTTGTATTTTTTTTTAGTAGAGGTGGGGTTTCGCCATCTCTACTAAGTGCTGGTGTGAGCCACCACACACGTCCCAGGCTGGTCTTAAACTCCTGGGCTCAAGGGACCCTCCTGCCTTGGCCTCCTAATGTCGTGGGATCACAGGTGTGGGCCACAGAGCCCAGCCTGTTCTTTTTTAAGACTTTGAGAATCATTTTTTAAAAATCTTAAAATAATTGTAATTGGTTTTTCAATTAAAAGATGTGGAGAACGGTGCAGTTAGTTTTAAATAAGCTGCTTCATGCTTGAGGTGTTCGGCCCCTGTGTGTCCTTGAGTCAAACAAGCATGTGCTCATCTGGGCGGGCTCCTCTTCCTGTGAGTGTGAATGCTGCTCAGCAGGTGCTGCCGCTCCAATCAGCCTCTCTAGGAGGATCACTCACCTGCCGCTCCAATCAGCCTCTCTAGGAGGATCACTCACCTGCCGCTCCGATCAGCCTGTCCAGGAGGATCACTCACCTGCCGCTCCAATCAGCCTCTCTAGGAGGATCACTCACCTGCCGCTCCAATCAACCTGTCCAGGAGGATCACTCACCTGCCGCTCCAATCATCCTCTCTAGGAGGATCACTCACCTGCCGCTCCAATCAGCCTGTCCAGGAGGATCACTCACCTGCCGCTCCGATCAGCCTGTCCAGGAGGATCACTCACCTGCCGCTCCAAGCAGCCTGTCCAGGAGGATCACTTAACATTGACTTTTTTTCTGAGTATATGTGTATGTGTAATTGACATGTAATAATTGTACATATTATTTTTTAACATTCCATTTCCCCCTGCTTGTTTGGAAATTATATATTCTGTTTCTATTCTTTTTGCAACTACCTAGAAACGACAGAATGCATAATCAACTTATCCAAGTTGAAACTAGCCAGTGCCTTTCCCCCACTTTGAACAAACCCATTGACTCCGTTTAACCCCTCCTGAGCCGTGTGTTATTTTAATTGTACCTTTTTAAACTTAAAAGGTGTTACTAGTATTGTTCTGTAAAATCTTTTTTTTTCTTTTTTTCTTTTTTTTTTGAGACAGAATCTCACTCTGTCACCCAGGCTAGAGTGCAATGGTGTGATCCCGGCTCACTGTAGCCTCCACCTCCAGGGTTCAAGTGATTCTCCTGCCTCAGCCTCCTGAGTAGCTGGGACTACAGGTGCGTGCCACCACGCCCAGATAATTTTTGGATTTTTAATAGAGATGGGGGTGTCGCCATGTTAACTAGGCTGGTCTCAAACTCCTGACTTCAGCCTCCCAAAGTGCTGGGATTACAGGTGTGAGCCACCTCACTCGGCCTGTTTTATAAAATCAGCTTTTGTTTACCTTTATGTACTTTTTATTATTTCTTGCATTTTCTGCCTCCTCAGATAAATTTAGGTCCATCTGAAAATTAAATTTCCCCTTAGTAACAGGTATCTGGCCGCAAACTCTCTGACTAATTTTTGATTGTCTGAAAATGCAAATATTTTCCCCTTCTGGAAAACTGTTCACACGGGGTCTAAAATTCTTGTTTAGCTATTAACTTTTCTTTCTGTGCACTGATAACGTTATCCTAGTGTTTTCCGGCTTCCGTAGTAACAGTTAGAAGCCAGCTGTCATTCTGAGGACCAAACCCTTGAAAGGCTGTTTTGAAATCATTTACTGTAATGTGCCTGAGTTTTCTGTTTTTATCTGCTTGGAATTTGTTGGGTTTCTTGAATTTTTCTTATTTTTTTCTTTCTTTTTTTTTTTTTTTTTGAGACAGAGTCTTGCTCTGTCACCAAGGCTGAAGTGCAGTGGCATGATCTCGGCTCACCACAACCTCCACCTCCTGGGTTCAAGCAATTCTCCTGCCTCAGCCTCCTGAGTAGCTGGGATTACAGGCACCTGCCACCATGCCCGGCTAATTTTTGTAGTTTTAGTAGAGACAGGGTTTCACCATGCTGGCAAGGCTGATCTTGAGCTCCTGACCTCGTGATCCGCACGCCTCAGCCTCCCAAAATGCTGGGATTACAGGCATGAGCCACTGCACCCGGCCTATTTCTTTTACCAGTACTATCAAAGACTCAGCTGTTATTGCTTCTGGCCCATTTCTGTCTGATCTTTCGGGAACACTAATTGAACATATATTAAACCTTTACTTTTTTTTCCTCTGTTTGCCATCTCTCTTAAAGTCTCTTTCTGATTTTTAGTTTTTTGTGTCTCTGGCTTTTCTAGATGGTTTCTTCACCCCGTTTTATGTTTACTCATTCTTTGGCTGTGGCTAATTTGTTATGAAACCTGGTTTTTAATTTTGGTTGTTATATTTTTTCATTTCCAGAAATTCCACTGGGTTGCTTTTCAAATATGCTAGTCTGTTTTACACAGTTCCTGGCTTTCCCCAGAAAATTCCATCTTGCTTTTGATGCCTCTAATCAGAGTGTGCATAGTTTTAATATCCTCGTCTCGTAATTTGAATATCTGAGGTCTTTCCAGGTCTGTTTGGCTGTCTCCTCCTTCCCGCCTCCCCCTCCTCCTTCCTGCCTCCTCCTCCTCCATTTTTCTTTTTATCTTATTTTCCATGTCATGTTTGCTTTTGACTGTCCATGAAAAACTGCTTGTAGGGGTCCTGTGAGCCCTACATGAAGCTGTCCCTCCAAAGAGGCTGGAATTTGCTTCTTCCAGGCGCCCAGGGGACGTGGAAAGCAGGGACCACTTCACCTTAAATTACAGGCTTGAAGTGTTCCAGGTCATGCGTGTGATCCAGGTCACCCTCGTGATGCAGGTTTGGACATAACTGGCTCATGCTTCCCTCTACTCTGAAAAGGGTTGCCTCCTGCTCCTGCTCCTGCCCCTGCCCCGCCTTTCTTGCCATCCCCTGACTGTGTGGGGTTAGGGGCATTACCTCTGATTCTCCGTTACCCTCAGGGGTAGCCTCCGGGGCCTGAGTTTTATGGAGAGAGGGCTTCCTCCCACACTCCCCACTTGCTTGTGCCTCTTGCCCTGAAAGACCATTAAAAACTACACTCATGCACTAGCATGGGTATCAGAAAAAAAACAACTCTGCTCCAGTAAACCTGGGCAGGCAGTGCCCGGCAGCAAAAGGAGCTGCTGGCTTCAGCCAACCCGTCTGGGTTCCCACTTTGATGTAAATTTTTGGCCTAGTAAGTCCCTGCTGTCTTATCACTTCCCTGATGACTGCGAAGAGATTTTAAAAATCTTAGTAGCATTTTCTTTTCTTTCTTTTTTTTGAGATAGTCTCACAGTGCTGTTGCCCCGGCTGGAGTTTGGTGGCACAATCTTGGCTCACTGCAACCTCTGTTGCAGGGGTTTGAGTGATTCTCCTGCCTCAGCCTCCTGAGCAGCTGGGATTACAGGTGCCCACCACCATGCCCGACTAATTTTTGTATTTTTAGTAGAGTCGGGGTTTTGCCATGTTGGCCAGGCTGGTCCTGAACTCCGGACCTCAGGTGATCCACCTGCCTTGGCTTCCCAAAGTGCTGGGATTACAGGCTTGAGCCACCGCGCCCGGCTTGTCTCTGCTTTTTAAACTCAGTATCTGTCATAGTCACATGGTTGATCCCCAACTTTCATTCCACGTGGATAAGTCAGCTGAGCTGAGCAGGGTTATTCTACTTCTCTTGTGAATGATGCTTTAGATGGTTTAGAAGGAAAGTTTGCTCCAAGGATTCTGGGAAAAGAGACTTTATCCCTCCTTTTGATCCCTGTCATTACTAGGTGTGATGCATGGAGCTGCTGCAGCCACCTTGGCACCATGTGGCGAGCCTCAGACTGAAGATGGGGATAAGAGGGAAAGGAGCCTGTGTCTTTGGTGTTGATGCTATGGAGATGTTTAATCGGCCAGTATTGGTGTCTGCTGTATCTCTGGACTTCTCGCTACGTGAGGTGATATATTTACTTATTTATTTTTTTTGAGACAAGTCTTGATCTGTCACCCAGGCTAGAGTGCAATGGCGTGGTCTCGCCTCACTGCAACCTCCGCCTTCTGGGTCCAAGCAATTCTCCTCCCTCAGCCACCCAAGTAGCTGAGATTACAGGTAACTGCCATCACGCCTGGCTAATTTTTGTATTTTTAGTAGACATGGGGTTTCACCATGTTGGCCAGGATGGTCTCAAACTCCTGACCTAATAATCTGCCCGCCTCGACCTCCCAAAGTGCTGGGATTACAAGTGTGAGCCACACACCGGCCTATTTACTTATTTTTTAAGCGTGATGGAGGGTTTTTTATTTTCTGTGTTTTTGGTTACTTGCTGCTAAGATATTGAACTGATATAATATTCTGTCATAAAATTGTTTATTTTTCTTTTCTTTTTTTTTTTTGAGGCAGAGTCTCACTCTGTCGCCAGGCTGGAATGCAGTGGTTGGCTCACTGCAACCTCTGCCGCCCAGGTTCAAGCGATTCTCCTGCTTCAGCCTCCTGAGTAGCTGGGACTACAGATGCACACCACCGTGCCTGGCTAAGTTTTGTATTTTTAGTAGAGATGGGGTTTCATCATCTTGGCCAGGCTGGTCTTAAACTCCTGACCTCGTGATCCACCCACCTCAGCCTCCCAAAGTGCCGGGATTACAGGCGTGAACCAGCACGCTTGGCCAAAATTGTGTTTCTATATAGTTCTCATATCTATAATTTTAGATTCATTACTTTGAAACAATTTCACATTTATGGAAGAGCTGTGGCAGTGGTGACTGGACCCATGCCGTCCCTCATCCGAGTTCACCTTCTTCTTTCTCTTCTTGCAAAAAACACTGCTCCTTCATTGGAGTGTGATCACAGTCTTTCTGAGCAGGTGCTCGTTGTCAGATAAGCGGGTTTCTCCTCTGCATTTTGTAGGATTTCCTGATACTTCTCTCAGGACCTGGTTTTCTTCTACCCATGGGTTCAATACGGCAGATCACCCACTCATTGTCTGTTTCAATTTCCTTCTGGCCCCTTCCTGGATGCAGAGATTGAAGCGTTAGACATCAGTTCCTCTGGTGGCTCTCGGGTTCCAGATGCGATTCAGTTTCCACTAATCTTGAACAAGATTTGGGGTCAGGATTTGGTTAAGGGGAAGAGAGGCTGTACTGTGAGGGTCGTCATTTTGCTGCTGTGGATCTATTGGGGGTGGCATATTGCTGGGGCCCAAAGTTCCTGACCCCTGGAGGGAGTATAGCTGGTGCTGTGTGATCACGGAGCCAGTGGCGAGGACAGTGGGTTTCTGAACACAGCCTTTTCTGAACTGCGTTTGTTTGAAGAGTTTTTGTCACAATAGCTGTTCCCTTGCTGAGCTGGCTCTGTGGGGTTATTCTGGGAGTGACATCCTGAGACCCCGCCTGGAGCCCATTCTTCCAGTCCCTCGATGATTTTATAAGCACTCAATTTCTCGTATTAAAATTATTTCTGCCAGAAATTGTGTTGTTCCTTTATATGCATTTAACCCATGACAGTATTTTCTCAAGTGGTCGCAAGCACTGCATCCTCAGGGATGGGCACCTGAGACGTATCTGCCTGGTTGAGTTTAAAGGCAGAAGATTCTTGTTGCCTTGTTATGGCTAGAACGGGTTGCCATAGCGTACAGTCAGCACTGGGTTACTATAGCAGAAGGTCAGCCTCGGGTTACCATAGCGCACGGTCAGCGTCGGGTTACCATAGTGTAAGGTCAGCGTCGGGTTACCATAGCGCACGGTCAGTGTCACGTTACCATAGCGCACGGTCAGCGTCGGGTTACCATAGCGCACGGTCAGTGTCACGTTACCATAGCGCACGGTCAGCGTCGGGTTACCATAGCGCACGGTCAGCGTCGGGTTACCATAGTGTAAGGTCAGCGTCGGGTTACCATAGCGCACGGTCAGCGTCGGGTTACCATAGCGCACTGTCAGCGTCGGGTTACCATAGTGCACGGTCAGTGTCACGTTACCATAGCGCACGGTCAGCGTCACGTTACCATAGCGTACGGTCAGTGTCACGTTACCATAGCGCACGGTCAGCGTCGGGTTACCATAGTGTAAGGTCAGCGTCGGGTTACCATAGCGCACGGTCAGCGTCGGGTTACCATAGCGCACTGTCAGCGTCGGGTTACCATAGTGCACGGTCAGTGTCACGTTACCATAGCGTACGGTCAGTGTCATGTTAGCATAGCGCACGGTCAGTGTCGGGTTACCATAGCGCACGGTCAGCGTCGGGTTACCATAGCGCACGGTCAGTGTAACGTTACCATAGCGTACGGTCAGTGTCGGGTTACCATAGCGCACGGTCAGCGTCACGTTACCATAGCGCACGGTCAGCGTCACGTTACCATAGCGTACGGTCAGTGTCGGGTTACCATAGCGCACGGTCAGCGTCACGTTACCATGGCGTACGGTCAGCGTCGGGTTACCATGGCGCACGGTCAGCGTCGGGTTACCATGGCGCACGGTCAGCGTCGGGTTACCATGGCGCACGGTCAGCGTCGGGTTACCATGGCGCACGGTCAGCGTCACGTTACCATGGCGTACGGTCAGTGTCGGGTTACCATAGCGCACGGTCAGTGTCACGTTACCATAGCGTACGGTCAGTGTCGGGTTACCATAGTGTAAGGTCAGCGTCACGTTACCATAGTGTGCTCTCAGCGTCGGGTCATCTGCAGCACTTGGGCATGGTGGCCTGGAAAGACACATCAGGTCACCTCCTGGCTTTGGCCGGCCGGTGGCCCCTGTGTAGGGCAGGATTTGACAGAGCCAAATGCAAGGAGCGTGAGGGCCCTGACTGGAACGGTGACCCCTGCCAGGGTCTGGGTGACTCCGAACACCCTGAGGAGAGGTCCTGTTCTGCTTGAAGACTCACAGCAGCTTCACCCCTGGTAGTCACAGGCCGGCAGGCGGCAGGCGGCAGCTCTCCCTCCTACCCGGAGGATGGTTAGGGACCAGCCTGCTGCAGGGACCAAGGATGGTGAAACCTGGGCAGAGAAGCTCTCACAGCAGAGGGGCTGCAGATTGATCATGTATTGTAGCAAAATTATGGGGAACTGATGAGGAAATGGATTCTGAGGGTGCCAGACCATGCAGGGGGACAAGAACTTGGAAAAAAAAGTAATTTGACATGATCCAGACCTCCAGAGGATTGCAAAACTAGGGCAAATCATTATTACATGTCCTTTATTTAGATTCCTCAAGTATTTTACCACATCGACTTCATAACTCATTTATTTAGTCGTGTACATGTGTGTTTATACCATTTTATGTACGTAGAATTTTTTCAGAACCATTTGAAAGTTAATTATAAGCCTGAGGCCCTTTCCCCCCAAATACTTTATTGTGTATTTCTGAAAAACAAGGTCATGCTCTTACATAACCACAGAATAACTACCAAAATCAAGAAATTTAAATTGATATATTTGCTAATCAAATTTTCCCACATCTCTAGGCCGACCGCAGTGGCTCACACCTGTAAATCCAGCATTCTGGGAGGGCGAGGCAGGAGGATCGCTGGTGCCCAGGAGTTCAAGACCAGCCTGGCAACATAGGGAGACCCTGTCTCTACGAGAAATTTAAAAAATAGCTGGGCGTGGTGGTGTGCACCTTCCCAAGGTCTCAGCTATTTGGGAAGCTGAGGTGGGAGGATCACTTGAACCCAGGAGGTTGAGGCTGCAGTGAGCTTCGATGGTGCCACTGCACTTTCCAGCCTGGGGGACGGAGTGAGACACTGTCTCAAAACAAACAAAACCCCAAACCAAAAGCCAAACAGATTTTCTCACATTCTACTCATGTTTTTATAGGAAAGCAAAACTCCTGACAGCAAGTTGCCTTTTTTGTGGCATCTCTTTAGTTTTCTGTCGTTCAGAGCCGCTCCTGAGCCTGTTTTTCAGCATCCTGATCTTTTTCTGAGCACTGAGTGACAGGCATTCTGTAGCAACGTCCCTCAACTTCAAGTGTTTGCTCACGGTTTGAATTTGGGTAGAAATACTTCAGAAATGGAACTGTGTCTTTCTCAGTTCTATTCTGAGGCTCATAGGTATTTCCCTCTTACAGATGTTGTTAATGTTAATTTCTCAGTGAAATTGGTGCCTGCCAGATTCCAGGTTTTCCCCTCTGTAAATATGCCTTATCCCCATTTGATATCGATAAGCGTCTTGGGAAGAAGTAATCTGAGGCCACTTACGTATCCTGCTCATCCTGTTTCTCAGCTGACTCTCATTAGTGCTTTTTCCTTTCTTCCTGTGCTGTTACTTGTGCTTATTTTGTCGACATGGGTTTGCTCACTTGTGAGTAAGCCAGACTCCAGCAATGGCAGCAGTTCCAACTGGACATCTGTTTCAGTGAGAGCTGACCTCAGTGGTAACTTAAGTGGAAAGCATTTGAGAGGCAAGCAATTCCTTTATGTACAAGAAAGTCCCTGAAGGCTTAGGGACATAGGCACATTGAAGTGGATTTATTTATTTATTTTGTGTGTGTGTGTGAGATGGAGTCTTGCTCTGTTGCCCAGGCTGGAGTGCAGAGGGATGATTTTAGCTCACTTTGACCTCCGCCTTCCGGATTCAAGCAATTCTCCTGTCTCAGCCTCCCTCGTAGCTGGGATTGGATTACAGGCATGTACCACCATACATGACAAATTTTTGTATTTTTAGTAGAGACAGGTTTTCACGATGTTGGCCAGGCTGGTCTTGAACTCCTAACCTCAGGTGATCCCCCTGCCTCAGCCTCCCAAAGTGCTGGGATTACGAGCATGTGCCACCGCTGCGCCTGCCTGAGTGGTGGATTCACTTCCCTCTTGAGGGCATAGAGGACTTGTTTCCCTCTGGAGGGCACAGAGGCTCTCCCTTCCCAGTCAGTAACACCCGACAGTGAGGCAGGTGCCTGAAGCCCTGGACAGCACATCAGTGGCTGTCTCTGGAGGTCAGGGCAGAGGGGCTGCTGCAAATGGGCTTGC